TAGCCGTAAATATCGTACACACAGACAAGCGAAAATGAAATCGATTAGAGAAGTTCGACTACAAGCCTTTTTAGGCCAAAAACCCTTCGCTTGTAAACAAATCCTCCAGGTAAAAGGAAGCAATTCTGCTTTTAGTGGAGATATTTCAGTCGTTCTGCAATCGCGATATCACGAGATGGTCAGAATGGTCCTCAGTTGAATGTTCCTGTGCTGCAAATTGTTGGCGCTGGAAGCCCATTCGTGAACGACACAGTAGAAGTGAACACAAAATTGGATCCCGCGCATTCGGATTGGATCAAGGTAAATTTTCTAATGTAGTTCCACATGTAAGCATCCAATGTATGCTGTTAATTCCACTGTTTCTTCATCTCAAATTCCTCCCTTTTTTACGATCGGCGGCATAAGCTTCGACGCTCCACCTAAAAGTATCATTTCATTTTCAATTTATGGTCATAGTTTCCCTTATCTTTATGGGAGCCATCTCTCTTTCTCTCTTTGAGACATTCAGGGATTAGTGGTAGAGTTGGTGCCAATCTCCTCTTTCTCATGATTATGATGCGATTAGGAAATCCATTCGAGTTCGCGCTAACAGCCATATTTTTCCCAGCCTTAATGATACTGCATAGGAAAAGGTGCAACACGTATTGGATGGGATTAGGAAACTTGTCATGTTCGTGGAGCTTCGCCTTTTCTCTGAGATCGTGCTAATGACACCATATCGATAATATAGGATTTTGATTGCCGTCACGTTATGAACTAGCTGAATTATCATTATTATTATTATTTCAATCGACGGAATACTGTACAGTGTGCACAAGTACTGTATAAGCTAAATTAATGCATGACTACATGCATTCACTCTGAATGGTATGTGAATGCATCCATTCATGTAATAAAAAGGCATTTTTAACGGCGAATGCTTTCAAAGGCTTTCTAGCTGCCTATGCCACTTCATGGTGTTTGCTGTAGTCAAGAAATTCATTTTTAGGTCTCTGATGCATGTGGTCTGGTGTTGGATGACCGTCCCGAAGTTGTGACTGAGAGCATGATGCTGTTCCTACAAGGACTTGGTTTCTGTGAGTTAATACAACACTAGTTTTTCTGCAATAAGTAGCTTCCGGATTTGAAAATTTGTTGATTACTGTTTCAGTTATTTGATATTTGATTAATTCATTTCCAGTTTGTGAAGTCTTTCCTCCGAATAGCTAGCCTTTTTCAAAAACATCGTGCTCAGACGGACATGTTTTCTGGATCGATTTTTGTTTAAATGCGCTGATCTCAGTAAACACCAACTAGATTCATAAACAGTGTTATTTTTGGCGCGCGCAAAAACCTCCAATTGAATGTTCACTGTTTGATGTTTGTGTGATTTACATTCAGGTTCCTCCTTCCTTGACTATTAACTTAAATTTATTTTATGAAATGTGTACTACACTCAATGAATCCATATTTTCACGGAATAAATTTACCTTCAGTCCCGACAATGAACGTGGTGAAGTTGATGAAGAAGATTCAAGACACTCAGAATGGTTCGTATTCGGCAATGTGTGACCACATCAATGAATGCTGAACAGTTGTGTATTTCATTCTTCATCGCATTTACGTTGTACTTACATTTGTTGTCCTATGTATCCATTTCGAGATGTTTTATTTATTTTTTTGCCTCTGTTGAGCTTGTTGTGCATATATTTTGTGATTGTATAGCTATGCGCTGATGTAATGTTCTGTCTAGGTCTCCAATTAACTGTTGACAAGATTGATGTTTCCATGTGCATATTTCAACGAATGCAGACAATCTGCGGATGTTATGTATCCTTGTGACGTCTCGTTTAACGATAATGTTAGGCTCATCATAGGTCGTCATACCCTCATTCCTCCATACTTACCTAGTCCAGACTTTCAAGTGTATTCACGCACGTTCAATCTTCAATGCAATTTCTGGTCATGTTCTCGATATGTGATGCCTTTAATGTTTACATTTAAAGCATGTCATGTAATGTTCAGGTTTTGCGTTGTATAGATTGCTTAAATAAAGAGAGATTTATGTGAATAGTAGTCACAGCATATCAAGTTTACAAATCTGGTATCCCATTGGGCCATTCAAGTACTTGTGGTTATTGGTATTAATACCCTGTGTTGCTTTGTTTCGTTAACGGTTCCTTGAATTTCGATTTGCTGTTCCAATAAGAGAGCTCTAAATTAAGATATCAGTCAATGCTTTTAACCTAGCAGTGGCTCCGGGGTAAAAGCAATACTTTCTAGTTGGAATGTCTTGATTCCTTTTTTAATTTAGGAGCCGCAACATATTTGGAAAGCATATAGTAGTTTTTTCTAGCCGGTTAGTCCTGCGTAATTAAATACTAGCCCATTTTTTTAAACAATATATTTGGGAATTTACCGTAGTTTCTATAACATGCATTCCAGAAAATAATTCCGACGACTGTGGTGTGCTCATCGTGTTTAGGACAGCATTGAACTATAGGTTATACGTTTTCCTACACTCGAGAAATGACAGCAAATGAGACGCAGTTGTGCTTTTATAAGAAAACCAATGTTGTTATCTGACAAATTAACCCCTAAAATATGTATCCTTGTGCAGCATAGATCCAGAAGTTTACTTTTGTAGAACTAATGTTCAGAATTGCAGAATGGAGATAGTGGAAACTATACAGAATTTAAACGAATATTGGGGTCCACCATCACTGAACTGGTTCGATTATTTCGTTGATGGTCAGAAGTTATCAAAGTTACTTAATGAACCGGGCCATAAAGGTGGGTTGACAATTCTCAATTTAAAGCCACACTCAGAAGTCAACCATTTCTGACATTATCGCTTCCATTTTATGTTGCCCACTTTCTTTTAGAGACTGTCGGTGAGCTGGCTCTACAGTTTGCTGAGCAAGTTGCATTTACGCAGAAGGAAGCTGAAGTAATGATAACTAAGGCATTTCCTAGCGGTGGGTAATATCAGGGGAAGGTAAATCTCTACTCGGAATTGATACTTCATGTTTTCACGTTTTTACAGAAGACGTTCAATTCACGCATAGAAAAGCTGCCTGTCTTCTTTTATGTGCTATCGCATGCTTTGCTTATGTAGATTGGGATATAGAGTATTTAATAGACAAATAGTAAGCATTTTCCTTAATTTTTCTTATATCCTGTATTTTTCAGACACTGCAATTATTTTCGCTTATTTGTTTCAGCAATGAGATTCTATCTGTGCGGATACTGGTAGAAAATTTTCTTGGTCTTTGTCGTACATCCGAGAATCCATCAGATGTGGTGGTAAGCAGAATCATTACTTATGTTCTCACCATTCTTCATGTTGAGCACTCGTCCCTTTCTGCGTTTTCTCGTACAAAAACGTTCCCTCAGTGAATATCGTCAACAAAATGTTCATTTTTAGTTTCTAGCTGTTTTTTTTTTGCGTTTCCGAGGTTAACTTCCCGCAGTCTCCATCTAAACAGCCCTTGCCATATCGTTCATTCCATTTCTCATGAGGATATGACATGAACCTCTCTGGCCATGCATCATTCGAGTGTCCAAATCTAATTTCTCTTTTCTTTCTATAATATTAGCATAGACATTTTTATCGTGCCGCAAAACCTAAGCGTAGTACCATTTTTTATCATTTTTGATCAATTTTTTGTTTTCTTGCCATTTTACCGTTACACATTTTTATTCCAGTTTGCTGAGTGGCTATTCGCTCGATGGGCTATGTCCATCGATCGTCGTTTTCGAATACCACCACCTCCTGCAAAGCAAACTGTTAATAATCCGTGAGTTCTTCATAAAAAGTGAAGACGTTCGCGTGTTGAGTATATCTACTTTGCAGGCTTTTGGTGCCAGATCTTCATCTTACAAAACATGAGAATATTCGGAAAATGGTGGTCGACACACGCACATGGCTTCCTCAGGCGATAGCGTCACTAGAGAAGTACATAGCGGAGCCATCTGATTTGGTTGTTCCCAAAATGCAATGCTTTTTATCGCCATTTCTTGAGGTAAATGATTTTTTCAAGGAATAGGCCATTTTACTGGAATGTATTGGATAACTAGGGACTACGATAACTTTTTTGACATATTTCTCTGTATGGTCAACTTGGCATAGGGTTTCTCCAGCCCAGCACTTTAGCAAAAACTTTACGCCTTGTTTGAAGATTAAATTTTTCAGAAAGGAGGAATGTCGCTTAGTGTAGGCATCATTGGTAGCAACGTGCTGTGCCAGTGGGCACCAAGCCCCGATCTTTCTCTGGCAGTCACGAAAATCCCTGCTGCAGATGTGGTCAGCGTGGTAAGCATATAATTCATTATTTACCAGCTGAGATCCCATGAAAAATTGAAAGTGTCCCCTTTCCCAACTTTTGGAACTTTAGGATCCTTCAGAAGATGTGGTGAAACGATACTGATGACTTTTAAGCTAAAGTCGTCCGAAATTCTGTCCCACTTGAACTCAGCCCTTAGTTTGCGTCACAATCTAAGGGTTTACAAAGCGTCTTCCCCGCTTCTAATGTAAAAAGGAATATGTTTTCCCACATAGAGAGAAGACACGTTGCGGGTGGTAGTTTAACACATACCGCTTAGAACTGAGGAAGGACGACTGACTAGCTGACCCGTAGGACCCACCCAAGATCGTCGCCGGTGTGCTCTAGGCAGGGTTTACATATTTTCAGCAATCGGAAAAGTTTACGATCGACCATTAGAAATTGTTTACGAGAGTTGTATGTCGGACAGCTCCTATAATTCTAATCGAAAATTGCCAAAACACTGTTCAGAGTCGCTTTGATCTTCTTCAATTTCATTTTGCCAATGGTGCTGTTGACCTCGCACAAGAGTTGCTCAAATTGGTAAGTTCAATGCACAACTCTTAACTGCATAGTTGTACTTCTGTCATACCATCAGATGACCCTACCATCGACGCAACTACCTCTTTTCTGCGTCGACAATAAACTTCTTCATGGCTACTATCTAGCGCTCAATGTACCATCTCCACTGCCACCAGTTCCAACTACAGTCAAAGAGTTCCTACCTGACCAGAAGGTAAGTTCGATAGATCGTAAATAGCGTTTGTGCTATTTAGTAACCCTTTTTTGTTCATTGACTCAAAGCAAATCTTGCAGACCTTGGGTTGTGTTCCTCAGATTATGAATGTATGAATTTTTAGTATGTGTGGATAATTAATTGTCTGGGTTTATGATGTCATTAAAAGGTGGATCGATGCTTTTTTATTGTAGTTTTCAGTGCAATCTTACAGATCATTGCAAGTTCTTAAGTATATAAGCATTCACTTCGTGTTTTTGGAGAAGTTTTTGGGATGGATGGTGCACTGAAAAAATTATGTTGGAAATCTCTATTTGGATCTATTCTCACATGTTTGAAATTTGAGATGACAATCATGTTTCACTCAGTCTTTTAAACAATCAAAGAAAATAATAGATATAGGAAAGAAGTCTGAAGTCGAAAATCTTTTTCTTTTAGCTGCTCACAGACGATTCCTCCGTTTTCCGTCGTTCGAGGATGTGGAGGCTTCGTGCAACTAAAAGAACGTCTGGTCAGCTACAGGTGATTTATGATTTTCCACCGTTTGACTTATTCAGATATGATATTTTCCAGTAGGGCCATTTTAGGTAGCCTTTCGATCGGAAAATGCAGCTAAAGATGTGATTGAAGGGATAGCTACTTGCTTCCGTCAACGTTTGACTGAGAAAGTTGTTCAGCAGCGATTTATAAAGGTAGTACAGTTTCTTGTCAGCGTTCTAGAGCTTAGAAAGCAAGTTATTCCCGTGATTGTAAAAAAAAAAACTTCCACTTGATGATTTTGAATCACAACCGAGAAGTGGTTCACAGCTCAACCTTGATGTGACATCATTCTTTTTCTTCAAAGGTTCATATACATACATATTATATATGTTTGTATTCATATCAAACCACTTACGTAATTCCGTAGAACCGATGGCGCATCGCGCGAAAGGTCGGTGGATCGAATCTCGGAGTTGTACGACTCGAGTAAACTAACCCTTCTAACCTTTTGGTGTCAGATAATTGATATCAGATTTGTCTGGGAGGAGAGAAAGCTTTGGTTTTGCTACACGCAAGTCTGTGGAAGTCAAATACGTCCACTTATTTCGGAACCGGTTGGTTGACCCCGAGAGTTTTTCCGTTAACCCTTGGACAGCAACACCACGTGAAGCGGATTTTATTGTTAGAAGAGATTTCCTTAGGCGCTTACCCGTTGATATCGAGTTATCAGAGTTTGACTTTGGCCATTTTGAGTGATTTGATTATTTCAAGGTTCTATGGGTTTAGCGTTTCCATTGCAGTCCCTACAACGTCAATTGTCGTCTGTTCGTGATCCAGTGAAGCGAAGACGAATAGATGCGTTGCTGCTCTTTCTTTGTGCAACGGTGGTTGGAATGCGAGAAGAGCTGTTACGATGTGGATGGGATACCCCGTCAAGACTTCGAGTACTGGCCAGTCAAGCGCCCAGAACTGTCACACCTCCGCTTAAAGCGCAGATTGTAAAATGTTAGTTGCAGCTTTGACTTCCTCAGCTGTTATCTTCAGAAGGGGTTCAAGAGAAGTGGTAGTGTTAACATACGAAAAACGAAATGATTTCTGATCCTGATACGCTCCTCATTTCATTTCAGTACATAACGTACATGCTCTCCTTCTTCTAATTTCTATTTCCTTCTTATTTCCTTTAATCATAACCTTTTAGGACTATCCTCTTCGTGAACTTTTTCTTTTTGTTAATATAATACTATTCAAATTTATTCCTATCCGGAAACTACTTTCACGAGTTGGATAGGGGAATAGGACCTTAGCGCTGGTGAAGTAGGGGTTGGTATGATTGCCGGAGAAATACCTTGAGATAAAGCAACTCACATAACTCAGCACGGCACTTCATTCTTCTTTTGAATCTATTCTCTCCTCCCCAGGTAATGTAATGGCCGCCTCGAAAAGTCCGCTATACAATTTCTCGTTGAATTCCGTTTTGGTCTCACCAACACCTTCGTCTTTTATCAAAATTTCCAGTGGCGTGTACACTGCTATTCATGTACACCACAACTTTTGGGGGCAGTAAAATGCAAATCGTTGGTTCTGTCTTCCTCAGTTTGATATCAAAAGAAAGATCCTGATGAAATGGAAGCTCAATGGCCTATTGTGGTCTAAATCTGGGATTTAGTCCTTTTATTACACGTGTAGATTGTGTCTACCAGTCGATATTAGACGCTACCCTGTAGCTCCCCAACTTTTCTACATAGCGAAAGAAGTCATGTGTTTATTTATTTAATTATGTATTTATTTGTTGATGTATATGCTCAGGATGTTATACCACCCCTTTAGTTTCATTAATAATCAAATTTCCAACACCGTTTAATCGATATACAATTAAGTATCAAGTTTGAGCTTCTTTCTCAAGCATAAGTACCTTGTCTATCTAAGGGGCAGTATTGACTGAGAATGACCAGTTGTGTAGATCATTTGAGCATTACTGGCTCATCAGTGTAGGTAAGCCCGATGCCCACAAAACGTTTCTGGAAGCTCCGACATTCTGAACATGAGTTGAATGCATGGCGTATCTCACGAAAACTATTCAACAATACGTTTTTGTTGCTCTTATCAAACATTCCCTCCTATTTGATTTCTATTACAACTTCTCTCCTCCACCAATTCCCTTGTATATGTTTTTATTCAATCTCTAAGGTCACAAATCAGAGATGAACAGATGAGTGAAGTCATGTAGTGAAGTAATGCTAGCAAATCGTTATTTTAGGTCCTTTTCTCGTTTCTCTCTCCCCCTTGATTAAGAGTAGGAGTAAATTCCATGCTGCATGCTATCTCTTCGAGGGAGCCCGCGAGAGATACGGCGCTCTGGAGAGCGCGCTAATATAGAGGTCGCCACAAACTCGGCGAGACAGGTTGTCCGAAAGAAGACGTGGGGGGCAACTCACAGGTCCCTGGTGACCTTAATCCCCCGGGAAGGTCTGAGACGAGGTCCCACTCCCACTGGGTGGAGTGGTGGGTCCGAGAAGGACCTCGTTCGTGAGAACGAGAGGCTGTAACAGAAATACACCCTGCGGGGTTTGAACGACAGCCTCGACCGGCGAATGCCTGAGTGCGATCGTCCGATTAACACAATTCAGACTAGTCTTCGGAAAACCTACTTTTGAGTTTTGGGTTTTCATGGTTTACCCAGGGTGCTTTCCCTTGGCGGGCTAAGACATCCAACTAAAAAATCCTGACCTGTTTGGTTTAGTTTACTTCTTCAGGGTTGCGCCATGTATACGCTTAGGGGTTCAGAGCACGGTGATTTTTTTTGAGGCAAAAATTAGTGGAACGACTAATGCTACAGAGAAATCAGCATTCTTAATCTACGACGACGGTTTCTGTACTCGAACCTGGGTTATCATGCAGGGTGGTTTTCCTGCGCCTGTTTTACCTCCATCTAAAACTCTGTCCCGTGAAAATTGGAGGAAGGATGCATGCATGTAGAATGAGATTGAAATTAATTCACTTCAAGCTCTAGCATTTTGGATATCTCAATAAAAATCTTTTTCAGTAATAGTCGCAAGTGACAATCCATTTTGGACAGTGGTCACCTCGTTCAATGCTGTTGAACTTAAACAAGCAATGAGTAAGATGGAGCGATTTGTGAGACCATTTATGGTGAGCTTCCAGCTGTTCTCTTATCCCAACACTTTATCAGCTTTACAGCTTTTCATCAGAGACTGGCCTTTTATAATTGCTTCTTGAAAGACTCCTCTGTCGGTTGTAACACCAAAATCGGGAATATATTAGTGTCACTACGGCTCTTTGTTATCACGGGGAACCGAGGTACATTCTGCAAGCTCCCTTTTGGAGTGGTCAGCAAATCCTTGGTATCATTCGCTCTTTCGGTTGTAACCTTAAAACAGAAACGGAATTTAGTAAACACGGTAAGCTTTTCTTCTATAAACAATAATATTTCAGTTCACAATGCCTGAAATGCTAGCAGAATTCGTACTGATCACACGTCCTATCAACGAGTTGCATGCTGTTCTTCTAGCAAAACTTAATCAACTTGCTGAAATGAGGGTGAGATCTTTGTTGGCTGTGTGATTACCACTACTGCTAATATATAAATACATTAATTATCCATGGTAGATTAGTCGAGAGGGTTACCGAGCGCCATCCTTATGGTTAGAAAGGGATGGGCTTCTCGATCGACCTAATGTTATTAAAGTTTTTCCAAGGTAATTGGCGGTTTGAGAAATGATGTTGGAACTCAAAGTTTTTCATTATCAGCTTGAGAAACATCAGCGCATTCTGGACAAAGTAATTAAGTGTTAGGCTCTTTGTTATTCACTTTCCTGTAAAAAAAAAACACCACTGCGCATAATCTGGAAACGCTACAACTGGCAATGACTAGTTTGACTTACAGACTTGATCAGATTTTTTTTGAAGGAAATTCGATTTCATATCTTCAGAATCGCACCGAATGGGATGCACAATGTAGTATCTATTGGGCTGAGTTTGGCCTTCCAGTTCAAAGCAGCCAGATGGTTATGTTAACAGAGGTATTTTTTCGTGATTTTTTGTCCGACCGCTATTGTTAGAGTAAGCAAAGTGATCTTTACCGCCTTTTAAAGCCCAACAGGACACACTTAGTCTCTAGAAAGGACACAAGTCCAGAAAGAATTCGCAGCTTCCACAGAATTAGAGACCAGCTCACCTCGTAGATCCTTTCAACAGCACTAAAAAAGGGAATAATTGTTGAGCAGAAAGCGCATAGAGATATTTTTCTTGTCATATGTAGTCCTGAATAGGCGGAGGTAGCTGTTATGGCAAGTAGGATCACTGCCACACGGGTTGTCCGAGGATCGAATCCTGCATAGATACTCTCCCAGGCCGACTAAGATTTTCATTTCCTAAAGGCACCGTTCACATAATTTTGGGTAATCCAGATTATGATGAGAAACGAAAGACAAGATCGAAACTAGTGCGACTGGGGTGAAGAAACTGCGTGTGTCGGTGCATAGTGAAAAAAGGCTTCGAAAAAACGTTAGAAAGGGGGCTGGACGAGAATGAAACCAGAAAAATGAAGAAAGGTGGGGCGTCTGGACGAGCTAAATAGTGTGTTTTACTGCGCGCGTGTGGGTCCTGGTGCGAAGAACAGACAATGTTAAGCAAAAATTCATTCACTATAAGCATGAAAAAACAAAAAAACCTTAGTAACAGCAAAAGTAGCTCACCTTCCTAGCCTCTAGGAGGAAATTAAATAAGGGATCGCGGCAGCAAAAAGAAAAACAGAGGAAAGAAGAATGGGAGAAAAACATCGCCTCATCACTCGGCGATTAGCTGTTTGTACGTGGGTCCTAGAACGAATAATAGCAATCTGTATTGTCTAGACACAATGTGACACCGATCGAGGGGCGGAAACGCGAACGACGGCGACAACGGGGCTGCCACTATGCCCTGGACGTCGAGATTGGGGGAGTGAGAGGGTCCCTTCTACAACCCATGGGGGCCGCTGAGTATTAATAGTATAAGAACTCATTTACTTTTTCATCGTGAACGGTGCCTTCAACCGTGTAGACTGATAAAGGACCTAACTACCTTGCAAGTCCTTATATAAGGGCCTGCGCATTCAGAGCGTCACTACGATTCTAAGTCAAAGTTGAGCATCTCAAACTGAAATAAATCGACGCCAAAATAACTTGACTATCGTTTGAAACCTGCTGTCTCTGTACCACCGATCTGCGATTCAAAATACCTGTAGAAGGGTTTCACCCGTTTCTTTGTTAAACGGTTCTTAGCATTTCTCAACGTTCAGTTGGTAATTTTATTCCGTTGCTTAGCACGTTAATAATGAGCTTATTTAGGCTGTAAAAGTACAAGCACAATGTTACTCTTCGAGAGCCCTTTCTCACGAAGAACCTGATGCGGTTGAGGACGAACGCCAATTGAGGTCTTTGAAAAAACTTTTCAAGATGAATGCAGAAACCGACTCGCTGAAGATACAGGGTGGAGTCGCTTTTGCAGCTCAGGTGAGCTTACCCATTTTTTTCACTATAAAACTTTGGTTTCCGCAGTTCCGTAGTCCGTAGTTTATACTAGGAGAGGCACCAGAAAATTTGATATCGATGCTTTCTAAAGAAATTCAAAAGTTTGTTTAGAGCTTCGAACTATGGATAATAGAGCAATGGTTTGATGCGATAGATAGATACGGGGTCCGGTGTCCTCCCCCCGAACACGGCGTCGCGCTCGCCGCACCCGCCGCGTATCGCAGAATTGCGATGGAAGTTTGGAAAGCGCAGTTTGTGAGTTAGGGAAACCTTTAATTATTTGAATTCGCTGTCCGCTCCCTTAGATTCCAATGCGGTCTTGATCATCGATAATTCAGGTGGAGTCACTCCAAACAATCAAGTCTAATAAAAATAAATGCGTGCTATCGATTGGTGGGGAGGCGGGCTGAGTACGGTAGTCGCAGTTTGAAGTCGCGAGACAACTAAAAAAAATTTCTGCATGCCGCAAAGCGGACGTGGGAAATCGGGGAGAAGTTCCGTTACCCATAGATATTATATGCAGGTGATAGGTTCCTATAATTTTCATGAGCTTCGATTTAATCTCTAATTGGATGAGCTCTGAGCCGTTCGCTCGCGGGCCGGACGGCGGACTATGAAAGCAGCCAATGATGCTCCATAAGCGGGTTCGGATTAGCCTGCAGGGAGGTAACTCCTTTGGGGATTCCAACGGCTTCTTGCTGAATCGTAGAGCAGGTGTAAGAAGGTGCACATGTATCATATATTGGTCTAATAGTAAGCAAAAGTCATTCTGCCCCCCTCCCCCCATTCCCTAAACACTTCAGCTGTACTTCTGATAGAAGATAATAGCTCGTTCACTGGACACGGTGATTTTGTTTTCTTCCGTTATGCATAGTCTACCCTCATTTGCAGACGTTTGCCCGTGCCCTCAATGCAGAAGATTGGGATTTTGTCACGTCCGAAGTGAAGTGGGTTCCTCGCAGCTAGATGAGCACTATCTAAATAATGATTTCAGGCTATTTTGGGCATGAAAACAATCTCTATTCAGATTCCTATCTATAACAACAACTATGGCGCAATTGCTCGCGGCATATCTAATGAGCTCAGCTCCTGGAAAAGATGCTAGCCAACTTCGTAAAGTCTGTGACACTCTTAATGCGCATATTACACCAATGTTTGATCAACCAAAGTAAGTGGCACCAGGGGATGGTTCCTGTTTTTTTTGGAATGTTCTTCCACCTTCTTTTTGCTTTGCAGTACTGGTACTGATAACTGGTCACAAGCGGACCAGGGCGCTGACTTTTTTCTAATTTTTCAAATTTGGCAACTTCAGTCGAAATGGCCGACGTGACGTGAATCGTGGAAGAGATCGAGATGAACGGGATCGAGCAGCTAATGTCATCGAGCTGTGGAGGTTCCTACGACTCATTCGGGTGAGTCGACTTACACTAAGATTTTCCAAGTCTCTACCTCACAGTTAAAAAGATGGATTGCTGCTAGTGTCTTTGGATTTGGGATTAAATTCGAAGTCCTTTCAGAATGAGTCTCTACTATCCCTTCTGATCACCTACTTCGGCTACCTCTTCAATCGTGCCCTTCTAGCTAAGAAAAGGCCTCATTTACGCATGTCGCTTCCGCTTGGCGAGATTTTTGGGCATGAATCCGAGTGAGTTCAGCATTCATCAAATGTTTCGGGGGTCTGTCACGAACGTTTCAGTAGCGTTTTAGATATTTCTTGAGTTGTAGCTTCAACTCACTTTGAAAAGTACAGTATTTTTTGATTTTTGTGACTTTTCAAATCCCTTACCATTTGCCAAATAAACCACTCGGGAATGACATAATTCCAATAACGTTTCAGGCTGAACCACCTGAATATTTTGGCCGTTCAAGAAATGCTGGAAATGTTCTTCCAAAATGCTTTTGCCATTAATCCTACTTATTCCTTATGGTTACGGTCAGCTGCAGATTTTCGATACGGTAAGCGGATTCTATTTTAACCGCGAGTAAAGAAAACCTCAACCCATTCTGAGCCTAATACTAGAAGTTTTAAATAAATTCATGTGTGGACTTAATCATAGATATAAATATCTATTATTCAACTGAATAGCTAATGACTCCTATATACCTGATTATCCTCCTACAGTGAATTTATTGGTGGTGGTTTTGTCATCATTTTTCAAGTGATGTTCTTTTTATCTGCAGGTAGAGGCCTTTTGAACGAGGCAGGGATTTTGTACATGGAATATTTGCTGGCTTCTCGACATCCATTGTTATCGTCTCCTCAGGAAAGCCAAGTGGAAGATTTGGTATGGTCCTGCTTTTTCGATTCGAATTACCAGTATCTGCTCGTATACAAAAAAAGGAAAAAAGATCAATCCAAAGAAATGTTTTTTTTTTCATTCAAAGTGAGTGTTATAATGAAATTGAACTTCGTATGTTAGTGAACCAGCATAGTTCGTGAAGTTGTAATCATTTAAGCTTAAATCCGGATACCTGATACGTCCGAAATTTTTTGAACAGAACAAATATCTGTTCATGCACTTCCATGGGGCCAAACGGAGTTGTTGTACGTATTACCCTAAAATTCCATAGATAAGAGCGGGTGAACCTACCGGTGAAAAATGAATTGGAAAAAATCGAAATTGAATGCAGTCACCCCTCTAACTTGATAAATGGATAAATTAAACTTCGAAGAAGAAGTTAAAAAGAAGCCCCGCCCCTTAACTCCAACCCCGCCCACTTAATAAACAATTCATATAGAAAAACAGCGATCCGTTAAAATCGCTATTTTTCTATATGAATCGTTTATTAAGTGGGCGGGTTTTAGAGTTGAAGGGCGGAGCTTCTTCTTAACTTCTTCTTCGAAGTTTAATTTATCCATTTATCAAGTTAGAGGGGTGACTGCATTCAATTTCGATTTTTTCCAATTCATTTTTCACCGGTAGGTTCACCCGCTCTTATCTATGGAAATTTAGGGTACTACCCAAACAGTCATGAAATGATCTCAACGAACTTGTCGACGATGGAACGGTCAGCCAAAGCCGGCTAAGGAATGGAATCTGCTTCTACGGTCGCCTGATTCACCGACGGAAACTCCTGTGGATTATCACGTCAATCGTCCGTCGAAAAATCGGCAAGCGAACAGAGCTTTTGAGGAATGGATGATTTGATGGCCGACGTCAAGGCGTGGATCGCCTTTAGGAATCGAAAGTTCTTCGCCTGTGGAATCCAACCGCCTAGCAAATGGGAAGCACTGCTTGACGTAGATGGTGGATATGTTCAGAGCAATTATTTGAGCATGTCTTTGCTAGATAATTCTATCGTTTTCAAGTAAAATTTGCTGAAAAAACCGCAATAATTATGCATCAACCCAATAATTTGATTTCGACGAGTGTTTTTTCTCCAACTATTTCGGTGTCGTAGAATTGAAATGTACAGATATTCAGTATCCGAGTTAGTAAGCTAAATTAAAAGTAGTTCAGTGATTGGAGTAGTTGATTCGGGCCTGCACGGGTTTACTTTTTGATTTATTTTGTTTTACAGATTTGGCGTCGTCTACGAGTTTGCCTATCGCATTCCCAATACTACTACTTGGCAGCATTGATTTGCCAAATGATCGAACACAAAAAAGAAGAAGAGTATATAAAAGCAATGGAGGTATGGTTTTTTCCTGTAAACCTATCCATGCCAGCTGGTACATCCCAGCGGACACGGATAGGTGTCACCCCTTCCCACTGTTACCATAATTGTGTCTAAGTCCGACTCTCGATGATTCGTAGCGTTTTTTCCTCTTCTATTAAAGCTTCCTCCGACTGAATTCCCAGCCAATTTCACAATAACAGTTCATTCGCTTTTTTTACTTCTACTACTACATATTCGTGCATTTTGTATAGCTCAACGCTTTCCACGATAGTGAGCTCGAAAATGAAAGTGTGGGAGCTCGATTAGGGGCACATTCATTTTAAGGAGCACGTAAGCAACTGTTTTTTGCGAATAATTTCTTTCTTGTGAATGTTCTCTAGCCACGGACACCTGAAGATACCAGCAGAGCAGGGCAATCTTACAAAACTGGAACTTCTCCTATCCTACTTTATATAATTCGCTAGGTGTGTCTGTTGGTGTGTCGGTGTGTTTGTGTGTGTGTTTGTTTGTGTGTGTGTGTGTGTGTGTGTGTGTGTCGGTGTGTGTGTCTGACCGGAAAT